CTTATCGGTTTGTTGGGAGTTGGCTCGTCGGTTTGGGAGTTAACTTATCGGTTTGTTGGGAGTTGGCTCGTCGGTTTGGGAGTTAACTTATCGGTTTGTTGGGAGTTGGCTCGTCGGTTTGGGAGTTAGCTTGTCGGTTTGTTGGGAGTTAACTTATCGGTTTGTTGGGAGTTGGCTCGTCGGTTTGGGAGTTAACTTGTCGGTTTGTTGGGAGTTGGCTCATCGGTTTGGGAGTTAACTTGTCGGTTTGTTGGGAGTTAACTTATCGGTTTGTTGGCAGTTGGCTCGTCAGTTTGGGAGTTAACTTATCGGTTTGTTGGGAGTTGGCTCGTCGCTTTGGGAGTTGGCTCGTCGGTTTGTTGGGAGTTAACTTATCGGTTTGTTGGGAGTTGGCTCGTCGGTTTGGGAGTTGGCTCGTCGGTTTGTTGGGAGTTGGCTCGTCGGTTTGTTGGGAGTTGGCTCGTCGGTTTGCTGGGAGTTGGCTCGTCGGTTTGTTGGGAGTTGGCTCGTCGGTTTGTTGGGAGTTGGCTCGTCGGTTTGTTGGGAGTTAGCTTGTTGGTTTGCTAGAAATTGGCTTATAGCTTGGCTAGGAGATTACTTGTAGCTTTGCTAGGAGTTAAGAGTTTGCTAGCTAGGTTTTCTCTAGCTCAGTCTTAGCCCCATTTGGATTAGTCATTAGCTTGTTAGTCAGAAACAAACTTTATTTTCTTTAATTTGGTCAGTTAAAAGTTAATTTTCAAGAGGTAAGTTATTATTGTTTATAACATTTTCACAGAACTCCATTTAAAAGAGCTGAACTATTGTTTCAACTGCGAATATAAGGACATAACTTACCTGTTGTCCTCCYAAGCAGGTGCAGGTGCAGATTGCACCCAGGTACTCCTTCTGCCACTGGCTGCCTGCCTGATAGGTTTGGCCTTCATCATAACACACGGAYTCATCTGTGTGAATGAACGAACATGTTAAAATTCACGCATCACTTCWAATCCTCATCAGACTGATGGAAACCTGTTTCTGAAGAGGCCTTACGGGGGTCACACTTGAACTCTCCTTTGCCGTTCCCCAAACAAGTGCAGCTCATCAGGTGACCGTTTTCAGCATGGCGTTCCCACTTCTCTCCAATGTGATAGTTGACGCCACCGTCGTGGCACCACTCTGATGARAAAATATTACAGAAGTCACGTTTTGATTTTTAAAAACACAGATGTTTATGTCAGAATCTGAAAAACTCACTGGATGAATCACATCTGAAGTGACCGCTGCCCAGGCCCAAGCACTTGCACCACAGCTTGAAGCCCGTCTCAGACAGACGCTCCCATTCACCTCCGACCTCATGGTAGGTCGCAGTGAAGGCGTCGTAACACATGTCTTTATTGGATGGAACAACGTCCGAGACTGAGAGGACAAAAAAAATCAGATTTACATTATCCTGTCATAAAAGARAGTTTTTATGTAATCGTTTGTGTTAGCAAAAAAACTGCGGTTTTATCATGTTTTTATACAAGGCTAGATAATTTTTTCGTACAAGACATATGAGTTTTGTAACTTGAGTGTCTGTATGAGGCTAACCCAAGTTTCTTAGCAATGCTTACGTGCATTTTTGTAAAAGTGATTTCCGTAAGACGCTTTTTCATGTTTTTTTACAAGAGTTTTTTGTTTTTATACAAGTTAATTTGTTTTTCTTTACGAAGCTAACTCGTTTTTTTTTCTAGGCTTTTTTTGTGTTTTTATATGAGGCTTTATTGTGTTTTTGTACCAGGCTAACTTTTGTTTTTGCATATTAGTGTTTGTGTTCAGTGTTTACTTGTGGTTCTATACAATACTTGTTCCCGTACAAAACCTTTGTGTTTTTATACAAGACTAACTAGTGTTTCTGTGTCCAAGACCTTTTTTGCATTTTTGTACAATATTTTACTCGTGTTTCTGCGTACCAGACATTTTTGCGTTTTTGTACGATGCTTACTTCTGTTTCTATGTACAAGACGTTTGCATTTTTGTACGATATTTACTCGTGTTTCTGCATACAAGACTTTTACGTTTTTGTACAATGCTTACTTGTGTTTCTGCAAACAAGACTTTTTTGCGCTTTTGTACGAAGTTGTTTCTGCATAAAAGACCTTTTTTTGTACAATATACAAGACTTTTTTGCATTTCTGTACGATATTTACTCGCGTTTCT